CACGTCCTGCAAAATCTTCACAATCTCGATGATGTAGTTCGGGTCTTTACCCTGCAGGTGAGCCTGGCCAAATTGCGAGGCTTCTGCACGCAGTCTCCTTCAGAACTTCAAGTGGCGTCTTGAAGTGCCGAGGGGCGCAGTTCAGGACGCTCTCTTTGTACAGGTAGATCCTTGTGCGTTTCTGGTGCCGCAAGGAGAAAGTGGCCAAGGAAAGTCCAACTTCCAGACAGGAAGCTTCAAAGCTGACGAGAGGGCCCCACTCAAGTTCTTGCCATCGAATAAGATCTGAAACGCCTGTGGCCACAAGGCTCCGGAGCATCTGGCTACGAAACGGTCAGGAGCAACCAAAGCCAGCCTCAATGTCGTGGCTCATCTTCTGGAAATAATGCATGCTGAAGACCCTTCTCTGCAATTCCTGCAAGGTGCCATCTGCCGAGACTGCCACGCCCATGCTTTCGATGTTGCCAACGAGAGCGTTGCTAGTCTTTCCGTTAGCTGCTGTGAGTATTCAAGCTTGTGCTGCCGAGCATTCCTATTGAAGGTCCTACTGTTGCTTTGCTTCGTTGCACCGGTGTTACCGACATTCAATACGAATACCCCCGGGTACTTCTGGCGCTTGCTGTTCCTGCCGCCGTAGCAGCGCTATCTGTAAGCTCTATGACCACGGGCTCTTTGCAGTGGTAGTGTCTGTAGTTGTTACTAGCGGCCGCTACCATTAGGCTGATGATGAGTATCGCTACTGTAGGGGTTTGTGACGACGATGACCCCCTGCTGCAGCTGTCACCAACGGGTGCGATCAAATTGACAGTGAGAGCTGTGCGATTGCTATTGCTACTAGGTCTAAATACAAATCGTGTCCATTACTCTTGCCCTGCAAACCCAATAGGGCAACGAAGCCTTCACCCCGACCCGCCGAAAGCCTTCCTGCGACTGTTTTCGACATGGACATTACAAGATTTGCCACTCATGCGGTGCACGATCCTGCCACAACTGGGTTCAATACCACCAGCAGAACTACAGCATTATGCTGCATTCTTGTGGTGGCTGCTGATATTTTGCAACTAGTCTAGTCCTCGTACAATGCTGCACGCAGTCGCGATTGACCTATGTCGTTTTTTGTGGCACCATCACAGCCCAAAGCTCAGCTTGCCTTAGGAATGCCCAGGGTCTGGACAGCACGCTGCATGAAAGCCTGCAGGTCACAGACAGAAGGCTGTGGCAAGAGACGGTTCCAGAGGAGTTCCCAGCGACTGCAACGGTGACGGAGTTTGGCATAGCTGCAGAAACACAAGGCCTTGTTCTCATTGTGGCGCTTGTCCAGAGCATGCTTCAGATCTTGCTCCTAGTACATCTCATAGTGGGTATGGGGATTTGCTGGGATCCGCAAAGACTCCGTCCTGCACGATGGCCGCGATGAAGAGCGAAACAACCTGTCAGTCTGATGAGGCCGCAGAGCTCAAGAAAGAGCGGTTCGATGCCGCCAGGCGGCTAGCTGGCCGATGGGGGCAAAGATGACTACAATAATCAGCCTGCCCGGTGTCAGTCTCATGAATCGGACTCAGACGATGACAAACTGTGCCGAGAGAATTTAAGCGAACATGACGGCTGCAAATATGCAAGGTATGCATTCATGCAAGTTCGTCTGGTCATGAAGTGCTCCTGTTTGAGCAAGGTCCATGTCGCGGCCGGACCAACAACAAACAGTGGTAGCACAAGGACGCATCGTCTTACCGCGGGGGACTTGAAGGCTGCCACGAGAAACCATGGAAACCACGTCAAGAGGTCCGTTTTTGCGAGGCTGCTTCGGGGCCTGCGAGAGCCTCCCTTTGAAAAGAAGAACGAGCCTCTATCAATCCGATCCCAGCCAGGTCACGCTCCAAAGTGCCCTTCTCGCGCCCCGTCTCCGGTGGGCCCATCCAGAGCTCCCGTGAGCATGTAGATCGCCTCTACGTAGGCGACGACCTCAAGGGCTGACAAACTTCGGGTCAGAGGGAGGCAGCAAAAGAGCTGTCGGTCAGGCGAAGAGGGTTTGGCCTAGAGCCTACCACGCTTTCGGGTGGACCCCCCGAAAGCCCAGGATGCTTCTTCAGAGCCTCTTTTAGTGTCGGATTCCGTTAGAAAGCTGTAAGGGCTTCGCTAACCTCAACCAGGTGGTGCAAACAGAACCCGACTTCAGAGGAGCAGAGAGCTGCGCACTAAGGTTATAGGTATCCCTGGCAAGCAACATATGAAGAGATTTTGCCGTCGATGACCTCTCCTGGCACAAAGGGCAAAGTGCTCCCGCATTTCGAAATTACTGGACTTGGTAGGCTCGGCTCCTCGGAACGTTGTCTCGGATGCTTCTGGTCCGAATTGCTGAAGGTTCTCCAAGAAGCCACCGAAACAGAAAAGCAAGCATGCAACCTCAGCTCACTGTGCACGACGCTCCGAATAGGTCTGCGAAGGCTGATGGCCGTTGTGACTTCAGGTAAGCTGCCCAGTGCGACACACCTCGGAAGCCCAGTGGCACTGTCACGTACCATTGCGTGGCACCCCAAGGATAGCCAGTGGCCGGGCATGGCTGCGGACGAGTGTCCAATGAGCAGGAGGATCGGCTTCGTGAGCCGAACCTCGCTGGAGTCCCGAAGTCGCCAGAGCGAGTCTGGCAATTCCACGAAGACCTCAGACATCAGGAAAATTTCCGAACTTCTCGCGAAAAGTTGATGCAGCTGCAGCCCAAGGAACACCTCCGCGAACTATCTTTAAGAGGTTGATAAACAACGGCCAGCCGAAGGATGCGGCCCATATGTGCACCTTGACAGAAGTCATGCAAGGCCGTTCCCGAAGTTCTCTAGCTGTGCTCTGAGCTCACTGCCGTGACACTGAGCCATTTTAGCCAGTACAGAAGGGATTTCATGCGCCATCGTCGGATCTTTCTGCTCGTCACAATCTGCCAGGGACGGGGAGGCTGAACTTGGCCGCACAACGAAGCGAAAGACAAACACGGCCATTCTCGGCCGGCTGTGCCTCCGTTCCTTGCATTCAGATGGACTGCCACATGAGGACTGTTTCGAAATTGACCCTTAACCCGCCCTGCAGTCGAGCGACGTCTTTCCGGATGGAGATAAGACATTTCCTGGCGGCTCCGCTCAGCTCGGGCCGCTGCATGCACGTGTCGCACTGAGGTTTCGGCCAGCATTAGAAGGAGATAGATGGCATAGAACACATCCATACCTGCCCATGTACCATGCACACTCTGACAGCTTCGTCGACTCTGCTTGGCCAGTGCAATGGAGGTGCAAACATCCAGAACCAAGGTGTCAGAGCCTGAACCGCGAAAGCCGGGGCCGTCGGGGTACGGTAGCAAGGCTTGCATCCGTGCAAGGCTTCAAGGGCTCCCCGCCTCCAGGGACCGAGGAGGGATCTTGCCAGTGGCCGTCCCAAAGGAAAGTGAGAGGTGCGACCACCATCGTCAGGCTCACGTTCAGGAGCATCCTGACACTGCGAGGCTGCGAGAAATTTGCTCCTCACAAAAGCTGTTTGAATCTGCAAAGTAAGAAGAAGGAGAGCAAGGGGAAGGAGGAGGAGGAGGGGGAGGGGTAGGAGAAGGCGCCGAGGCTTTGGCAGCAGGTCGATGATGCAGGCCAAGTCGGAGTCGAAGACTTCGATCCAGGCTTTGCCTCGGCGCGCGCATGGGTAGTGGGAGACTCTTCCTCTCAGAGGTGTAGGGGACGGCTCTATGTAGGATTAGAAAGACACCATATATGAGGACCCTGAAAGCAACACCCGAAGGACGCGGGCGCAGCCGCGGGGCGTTCGGGCTTGCCGTCCCCGGAGGTCAGGCTCTCATCCGAGGCCGACGGCTTTCCCTTCGCAAACTCCTCCGTCTGAGCAGCTTCCTGGTCGTTCTGCACGAGCCACTTCATGTCCAAGAGAACCTGACTCAAAGGCCATACGGCTATACGGCTAATGCACTGAAGGGATAGGCCCTGGCACCCCCGCAAAAGGCTGAAGCCGCGCTTGCTGTGTCCGAGGCACATCCTTCCCGCCCTTGCTTCTGTCGTAGAGCGTCTGCGCCAGGTCTCCGGCTGTCTTGAACTCAAAGCGCGGCCTCCAAAACGTCAGTGACCTGTACCTTAGAAGATCTGGTTATCAAGGCTCCCTTGCCGTTTCAAGAGAGGCGTGTCTCAAAAGCTCCCAAGCTACACCTTGTCGCGGAGGATCAGCACCTGGGCTCGCAAGCAGCCTCGAACCGCAGACAGAAAACCCAACACTGAAGAGAACCAGTACCAAAAAGGGCCAAAGGCACCAGAAGGGTTCGCCATTTGTCTTCCTTGGCCTTCCTGGGCCCAGCATCGATGCTACGTTTCCGTTCTGGAGTCTACATATGGTGTCTGCCCGGTCACAAAACCATCTTCTGCTTTTGGTTTTAAGTTTCGATGGCTTTCAATGGCTTCTCATGCTGCGGAGACACGTATCAAAGGTGGCATCTGTGCGAATCGGTTGGCTCGTCTGCCGCGCAGGCTCACCTCAGAGGTTCAGTGAGATCTCTTTCTTCTGTTGCTTAAAAACTTTCCAAAAGTTTCCGTCCTCGACCCTCGCGTTCCCCTTTTCATGTGCGGTCTGAGCGTCCGTTGACCGTCGAGCTCATGCACCCGCGCCCGGGAATGGGATGGAGACTCCCGGAGCGGCCACATCCGAACTACAGAGAGGCTCGGGGAGCACGCGCCTGCGGATGCCTGGCAGACTGCATGCATGTGGCTCAGCCGCGTTTGGAAGCTTCACTGCCGTTCTCGTCTGACAAACAACAATTGTTCTTTCGATGCACGTCGACCATCGTAGGTTCTCGAAAAAAAACAAGGCACGATTGCTATGCGAGCAGCAGCGTCCCTCAGGCAATCAGCATACGTTTCGCCTGCTTCCTACCGAGAGACGCTGCACTCATGAGCTCCAGGGAACTCCCTGAGGCCTACATACAAAATTGTCCAACTTGAAAGTAAGATGTAGAAGATGCACTTTATTCAAGCATTGATGTTGGGGAGGCCGAGGATCCGCATTTCGGAGCTGGTCGGCGGGGCCTCATTCCAGCTGTGGGGTCAGTGCTAGTGACGTAGTGACTCGTAGTGTCGCTATGCGGAGCCGTCGGGAAGCTGGGGACCGCGCATTGAGGGTCGCCCGCCGACCCAGATTCCTCCCCTCCATCTCTGTCTTTGGAAATTCCAGCCGGCGATCATCTGCTTGCCTTCTCGACGCTTTGCGCTGGTGCCGGCGCTGACTCAGCGGCTTACCGACTGCTGTCTGCTCCGTCTGGCAGTGGCAACTCTGGCACCGGCCATTGTTGCACTCACTCCGACCTCGCTGGGAAGTGACTGGCACGAATCCCTCCAAAAAGTTGAGTCCATGGATGCATCTACAGCTAGGCCAGGCAACGTGCGTACTCGCAGCCGACGAAGGCGTTGCTACGGCGATGGCCCGAGCAGAGTTGCTCGAGATTGGGGGGTTTCAGGTCCGATTGCTTGCAGCCTTTGCATGTCAACCACCTGATGCCCAGGGCCACCTTCTGACAAACTTGGCACAGGAGCTTCTTGTCGTGAAGGATGGGCGGGGCTGAGGCGGCTCGGGCTCCGGGAGCACGTGGAGGGCCGTGGCCGTCGCCGTTTGGGGGTGCAGGCTCTGGCTGCTTGGGGGTCGGGGGAGCTGGCACGAAAAACGGCATTGGGAAGAAATAAGGGGGTTCGAAAACATAATCATTCTTCGACTGCACATACTGCGACTGATAGTGCTCCAAGCTATCAGGACTGCCATCAGGTGCTGGCCGGCCTGACAACCCCCACATGGGTCCAAGCAGCAAACGACAAAAAATGCGCGAGAGGCGCCTGCTTCCTCCAATTTCGGATTGTAATTCGGATCCTGATATCAAGAGCGGCAGTGTTGGAGGCCATGCTTCATGCACTGTGTGGCATCCCGCATTCTGCACAAGGCGTTCTCCGTTCTCGCCAAGGGGCGAAGCTAGTCAGAGGCAGCCCGATGGGACCAAAGTCGCCCATGTCCGCGGCTCTGCTATGCACTTGCAACTTGTCGACCCGAACCCGGCGACTGCCGTCGCTGCACACAATACAAGGCCATGAAATCTGAGAAGGAGCAGGAAGGAGATTCTCCAACCCTTTCGTGTCACATGTCATGGCATTGTCATGGCACCACATGGCACCCTTGAGGCGGCCGGCACAAGCTTTCAGCTTTCCCCCAAACCGCAGAAGGAGAGGGAGAACTCAACACGCATCAGCCGCAGCAGCCGCAGCTGCTCTTTCACTTCCGCGACTTCCGCCCTCGTCCAAGTGTCAGCTCAGGAGTTGGAGTGGGCGTCGCCCGAGTCCGCGACGGGCTCGGAGTGAGACGGGGCGTGGGCGCCGCCGGAGTCGTGGTGGTCTTGCCAAACGGCCTGCGCTTCTTTCCTCGGAGAGGCTCCCGCAAGCCGAGGAGCAGAGACATGGGCGAAGCCCAGGTCTTCGTGTCTTAGTCTTCGTCTGGCGTAGTTAGTCCGTTTCTGGTTGCTAGCTCGGGCTCTCTGCTTCACCGGTCTGCTCCAGCAGCTGCTGCAGGACCTGCACACTGCAGGCACACGCCGGTGCGAAGGCGCAAGAGGCCCGACCCCGTGGCCCGCAGCTGTTTTGCGACCCAAAGGCCTGCTTGTGGTCCTCATTCCATGGGCCGTCCATCCCTTGGCGTCACCATCTAAACTCATGCCCGCCACTCGAAGCTCCGAATGAAAGCACGAGTGCTGCTGTCGGAGCGCTGTCTGCATCCTGCACATGCTTGATCAGGTCCATGATCCCTGTAACCTCTTTGGCATAAACCTTGCCACCCTCCTTCCTGGGCTGTATGTGAAAGGGATGCAAACAGAGGATTCGGCAGAATGCAAGAGAAACTCGCTGTGCCAAGTCTCTCTTCCTTTAGTAGCTCCTGCGTCTTCACGGACAGCTCTTTCCTGCACAGCTCCCAATGGACATCCCTGGAAAGGGAATACTCGCCGGCCCGGACCTCGCTTCCAAGCATCGCCTCCAGCTCAGTTGCAGCTAGGATTGAGGCTAAGCCAAGGCCAAGGCATGCAAGAGCAGCTTTCACCTCAAGGCTTCCAGCAGGTGCTGCGGCTGGTGGATGTCCACCTCCTCTCTCGGAGACACTTTCGTCATACAGCTGCAGTAAGCAGTTTCGGATCTCTTCGTGGGAAGATGCCTCCTGACAGGCTTCGGTGTCAGATTCGTCCGTGGTCGCTGCATCCGCTTTCTGATGGTGGTCCCGGTGCTGATGATGCGTGTGGGCCGACAGCAAGCTACCCACTGGAAATGGGTCTGCATGTCCTGTCACAGAGCATGGGCATCCATGTGCAGGCAATGTCACAATGCATTCAACATCATTCAGCTATTTCCAATGTTTTCTGAGCCCGACCGTACGCCGAGGTAGCGGTTTGGGAAAACGCTGACTGGGACAGCTCAGCACCTGGCGCTGACAGCTGGACTCCGCATCTGCAACGCAAGTGCTATCGCCCACCTTTCTCTGCATCGGCAGCTTCAAGCTGCGCCTCCTTATTCAGCGCGAGGCTAACCACTGCCCGAACCGCAAACAGACGTGCCGACCTGGTCCGGGTGCTTGTGGTGGTGAAGGTGGTGGTGATGATGGTGGGCTCTGTGGTGCATCTTCCTCGGACTCGCAATGCAAGACATGAGCGATTTCTGTAGCTTTGCCAAAGCCTTTACCTCGTCAATCCATCGAAAGCAACCTGTGAGCGCCATGGCAGGCTTCCTGTGGCGGGTTTTTGTCCCACCCATTGACTGCTCATGCCGAGGCTCCAGTGTCCTTCGCTGGTCTCCAGCTGCATGTCCGAGTCCCGGACAGCCTCAACCTCAAACCATTTTCGGAGCTCGGCAGTCAAAGCTGGGGGGGGAGGGGGGGAATCAACCCTGACGCAGGCACGAAATGCAATGTCGGCACGGCTGCTGCGCCCGGGCCAAGATCATGCCGAGCCAGTTGCGGGAAGCAGCTGCCTTTCGACCGCTGACTGAGCGCAGAACAGCGACTACTGCCAGAAGAAGCCGATGCACCATTGCGAATCCCCTGCGGGCAAGAGCAAAGAGCCCCCAGCGCTTCAGTTCGGCCTCGTTGTGAGGTTCTGGCCTGCGAATCGAGGAACTCAGGCGGGGCTCTCTGAAGCCCAGTTCGAACTCAGTCAATTCGAACGCCTAAGATGGGAACTGACAAGCAAACACAGCTGCGGCCGGCGATGCAGGCATTGCGTTCGTCCACGTCGCGCATGCCGGGCAATGCAGCAGCACCCATCTTTTCTGCAAGGCCCTCCGCGCTGCAGCCTAATCCATCTCATGCTCTCCGATGGAGAAGTTCCTGACATCCTCCTCAAGCCTTGGAGCCAAGCAGGGAGATGTTTGGCCAAATACCCTGAGACTCCGAGCGAGGAGCTGATGGACGTCCTCACTCTCCAGCTCATGGTGGCCACGTTTCGCACGGTCCAGGCCCCGCTCGAAGGACTTCACCTCCCATGACTGGGTCACCGGGTCGCTTGAAGCAGGAGATTCTTATGCTTGTTTGATTGTTTGTATCCGATCCGGTTGCATAGAACATGTCCTGTCGGCATTGACCCCTCACCTGACCGGATGGGCTCAAGACCCGAACCTGCTTCAAGAGATTTGCACACTCTACCAGCTACCACCGTGTGTTTTCTGCCGGTGAAGGCAGTGACCCCTTCACCGTGCGTTTCTGTCGCCAAAACCATGGTGACGGCAACGGCTTGCTGCCAAAACCATGGTGCAGGCAAAACGGCCATTTGTCTTCACAGTGTGTTTTTGTCGCAACAACCATGGTGAAGGCAACGGCCGCTTGCCTTCACCGTGTGTTTTGTCGCGAAGACCATGGGGAAGGCAACGGCCGCTTGAAGGCAACGCTTGCCTTCACAGTGTGTTTTTGTAGCCCAAACCATTGTGAAGGCAACGGCCGCTTGCCTTCA